CAGCCCTTTTGATTTTCTGACTCCAGCTCTCTGCACATTTCATTATAGTATCTTGCTTTGTCATCCTGAGCTGCCTTTTGAAATTTTCTGTTCAGCTCTTTGATTTCTTGATTTCTTCTTTTAGCTTTGGCTTCTCGGCGCTCTGATGCAATACTCAAAGTCTCATCAGGCATCCATCTTGGTCTTTTCTTCTTCTTCAGCCTTTGTAATGATCTTTTTGCATTCTTCGTGGACGATTTTCTTGATATCCTCCCAGAGCTCATTTGGTCTACGCTCATTGGTGCTCAAGGCCTCAAACCTGTTCCTGCGATGGTTTTGAAATTCGAGTGGGACAGACTTAAGGTAAAATCTTGGTTCCTGTGGACTTGATTTAATTTTCCTCAACTTCATCTTGAACTTGCACATAAGTAGTTGATGGTCCATCCCACAATCAGCACCCAGCCTGGTTTTCACTGCTGATATTGAGCTTCTCCAGTGAGTCTTTCCACAAATATAATCTATTTGATTCCTATGAATACCATCAGGTAAGATCCATGTGTATAGCCTGCATTTATGTTTCTTATAAAATGTATTTGCAATGAATAAATCATTGAATGTGCAGAACTCTATCATTCTATCTCCAGCCTCATTTCTCTCACCGAGCCCATGTTTTCCAGCTACTGCTCCTTCTTCCCTGTTCCCAACTTCTGCGTTCCAGCCACCCAATACTATTAATGCAACTTGATTGCATGTTTGATCAATTTCTGACTGCAAAAGTTGGTAGAAATCTTCTATTTCCTCCTCTTTGGCTCTCGTTGTTGGTGCATATATTTGAATGGTAGTGGTATTCACTGGACTTCCTTGTATGCATATGGATATTATCCTGTCACTCACCACATTGTATTTCAGGGAGTGGAGAGGAAATAAGCTTTGGTCTTAAATTATTCCTTATTCTCTAAGTTTCTAAGACAGAAGCTTTATTTTTATTTTTCTTTTTCTAATATATTCATTTCAGATCATGCACCAATGTCACAGGGGAGTAGAGAGGAAATGAGTGGAAAGAAGTGACTGGAGGCCTGATCATGCCAGGGTTGATGAGGGGAGGTGGAAGGGAGGTACCAGCAGGGTGAAGAGAGGGAATGGAGTGGGATGCTGCAGGACAGGCAATGAGACCAGGACATATGCAAAAACACCAAATTTGATAGCTATTTAATGGAGAAGGGTCTTACATCTGTTTTTTTTTTGGTTAAATGCTTATTGGTCAGGTATTAATCTAAAGCTGAGCATCTAAATTAAGACAGAATAGGGAGAAGGTTTGGCCATCCACTTCTGAAACAACAGGCTTTTAAAACCTCTGTGTACAATAGAGCACACTTCAGATCCTGACGCTCTAAAATATCAGACAATAGGAAGGGAGAACAGACGTAGAAAGGCAACGCTGTGAATATTTATGTTATATTGTTTAGTACATGTCTCAAAGAACAGATAAAAGATTAGTAAGATAGTCAACAAAATAGTAATCATGTTTTTGGTGAGACAAAGAGGGTTGTTTTGCTTTTCTTCTTTGTAGTTTTCTACAGTTTTTAAATTTTCTGCATAAATGTGCATTGATGGTATAATAACACAAAAAATACAAAACACTTCTTATGCCACAATATTCTACTCCGCATTAGGCAAAGCTCTGTTCAACAGGGAAACAAGGTGATATCCTTCCTCCCTCTCCCGCACATTCCCGGCAGGCACACAGGGTTCAAATCTCCATCATGTTACATTTCCAGAAACAACTACCCAGGGCACAGCCCCAGGGAAATTCAAAACAGGAGCTTTTCTTGGCTGTGGAGATGGCCATGAGAAAGACCCAGTGTTCTTGGAGGCCTCAGTCCTCTGGCTGAAACTGTCCCTGGAAAGCCAGGCGGGCATAGGGGTCCTGCTGCTCCATGAGCTGGTCCCGATCCTGCAGCTCCCCCTGCCTGAGCACCAGAAACTGGTTAGCACTCTGAACCGTCTGCAGCCTGTGAGCGATCACCAGCACAGTTCGGTTTCCATGGGCTCTCCAGTCCTGCAGCTGCGGAGAGAGGACTGTGATAACTCAAGGTATGAGATGGAGACCGTGTCTCACTGCGCACCATCTCTTTTGGTTTAGGGTAACCAGTGCCAGTTGTCATTGAGTTGAATGATTCATGGTAACCCCATGAGCATCTGAGTAGACCTGTGCTTCACAAGAGTTTTCTAAGGCTGCTTTTTCAGAACTAGAGCACTAATGATTTCTTCTGAGGAGTGTCCTGGTGGACTTAAATCACCAACTTTCACATTAGCAACTGACTATGCTGAATATTTGCATCATCAAGGGACTTCAGCTTGGCATAAAGAAGGTTGGAAACATGCAAAAGTAGGATAAATAGGATAAAGTTCTCTCACCTGCAGCTGAAGAAATCAGAGATGTCCCCATACCCACCATATTCTCTATTATATTCTCCATCCTCAAGCCCCAACCCTAAGAAGTGACTGATATTTCTAATAGTGGGCCATTCAGTCTCTTCCTGCCCAATCCTGTGCACACTGAATGTTTAACATGGACCCTCAGGTCTCATGGCCCACAGGGAGTTGATGCTGCTGAATGGAGTATCCATCTTCCAATATGAACCCCACTACCTGCACAGAAAGGTGTGTGGGGAGGGAGAAGGAGGGTGTCCCACTTCCCTCCCACTCCTGACCTAAGCAGGTCCCCAGTACTCACCGCCCGTTCACACTCAACATCGAGTGCACTAGTGGCTTCATCCAGGATGAGGACTTGTGGATCACGCACAAGGGCCCGGGCAATGGCAAGACGTTGTTTCAGTCCCACAGCTAACTGGCTCCCTTTCTCACCTATCTCTAAGAAAATCAGAGAAACACTATTGTTGAGGCAAAAATGACCACAAATCATTCTTCATCGTGAGTATGTGCAAGTGTACAACTGGTATTTCCACAAGAACCAGTCAGGAAATATAAAGAGTAAGATAAGTATTGTGAATGGCAGCTAAGAGAGCACTGTTGTTGCTGCTGCTGTTGTTGTTGTTATGGACCATGGAGTCAGAACCAACCCATAGCTAACCTTTCAGTGGGTTCTCAGAGGCAGCAAATCGTAGAAGAAAATTGCCCATTTTTCTCCTATGGAGTAGCTGGTGGATTTGAACCACATGCCTTCAAGTTGGTAGAGCAACACCTTACCACTAGGCCACCAGAACTCCCTAAGAGAACACACCTTCTGTGCAATCATGAACAAGACTAGGGAATTCATGGTGTTGGGAAAGGAGAAGTGGGGATAAAAGAAAAGACAGATCAGTAGTAAACTCAGAGTAATAAGAAAATGCTCCATGAAGCACCCATCTCTCCCCTGACTAAGTTTTATTTTCTCATTTGACTGAAAGGCAGGCTTGGAATTTTCTGAAGGTACCTGTATGCATTCCGTGCTCCAATTCTGCTATGAATGTATCTGCATGGGCATCCCTGGCAGCAGCCATAACCCTCTCATCCTCGCAGTTCTCCAGCCCATAAGCAATGTTGTCCCTCACGGAGCCCGAGAAGAGGACAGGCTCCTGCCCAACCAAAGCTACCTGCACAGAGTGGATGAAAGGAGAGAGCTGTGTATAAAGCCTCCCATCACAGAGATCTCCTATGCCTCTCCCTACTTCCATCAGGACACTGGTTATCACTTCCTACCGACCACTCCCAAATTCTCTCAGCACATCCTCTTCTCTATAACCATCCTGCTTCTCCCTCCACACCCACCTTTCTGTGCAGGTAGTGGTGCTCGTACTGGGAGATGGGCACCCCGTCCAGGAGCACCTGACCCCTCGTGGGCTGGTACAGATTCTGCAGCAGGGCAGCAACTGTGCTCTTCCCAGACCCATTGGGCCCCAAGAGTGCAGTCACCTCACCAGGACGAAGAGTAAATGACAGCCCCTAGAAAAGCCAAGTGAGAGTTAGAAGCTTGACCTCTTCTTCCTCAGGAGCCCTCCCCTTTATATCTCATGAGAGGCAGTATGAGTTTCTCAGCAGTCAATGATTTAGAGGCTGTGATGCCTCATCCAGCATGAGGGGCACAGAACAAGGGGTCTAGCTTCCCTCACTATGGTCTCTGGTACCTTTAGCACAGGTTGGTCAGGGCGATTGGGGTAAGCAAAAGAGACATTCTGGAATTCCACAACCCCCTCCAGAATGGAAGGGGCTAGAGTCCCCAATGGGGGTAGGTTTGGTTGTCTGTCCAAGTAGCAAAAAACCTTCTCTGCAGCTCCCACATTGCTCAGCATATCTCCCCACATGTACACCAGGCTCTGGAAAACAAGGATGGAGTGTTAGTCAAATGTACCCTCACAAGAAATCAAGCCCCTAACAAGCCAACTCCTCTGCAGTGCTCCACTCACAACCACGTTCCTCCTCATCTCTTACACAAAAGGGGGGGGGGGAATTTAGCTTTCAGTATGCAATTTGCATGGAATTTAAAAGTAACACCAATATTGTCAAGTTTCCAATTTGCAAAATAAAAGAAGTCTACACTCATCCAAGCAGATGCCTTCTAACCTCAGAGCAAAAAGCCCCCACGCACTGTTTAGTCAATTCTGACTTACAATGACCCTCCGTCAGGCTTCTGAAGCTATCAATTGTACCATGTTAAATTAATACCAAAGCCTATAAAAAACCGTATAGCATGAGCAACACCATTTCTTCAACAAGAAACTGTCAGGGAGAGGGGAAAACTAGGCCACGAGAGCTCCCTATATTTGTTATACATATATACAAAAAGGGAGATCTGGTGGCCTAGTGGATGAGAAATTGTGCTGCCAACCCAAAGGCATGGAGTTTGAATCCACCAGCTGCTTCACAGGAGAAAGATGGGCTCTCTCAACCCATGAGATTTACAGCCTCTAAAAGGCCCCTGTGGAGTTAGCTATGGATCACTTCTAACTTGACCACAAATAACATCAATCACATACATATAAAAAGAAAGAGGTGTGAATTTTATCTGGATCCCCATTCAAGGAAACAATAACCCGTGTACACATGAGACAAGTAGAAATCTGATCACTGATGACTGCTTTATTAAAAGAAATACTGTTTGTTTTTAGATATGATAATGAATTTGTTATGATTGATAATTGTTTTGATATATTAACAATATATTAAAAATATTATATTTGCTACATGTTCGAGATACATGTTGAAGTATTTACAACTAAAACTATGTGATACTAAAAAAAAAAATTAAAAAACTCTATGATACTTGGGATGTCCTTCAAAATAATATAGGGAAATGACTAACAATAAATTGACCACAAGTTGCTTATTATCAAAACAGGTAATAGATACACTATGGAGGAGTTCATTACAATTCTCTCTGTCTGTCTGTCTATCTCTCTCTCTCTCTTCCTATAAATATATAGATACAGATATTTGCTTATGGTTTAAATTCTCCACAACAAAATGGAAGTTTTTAAAAAGGAAAAAATAACTAAGTCCTAAGTCATAGGCCAGAGGGAAAAAACCCAAGGGGAAAGAGAATGCATGCGCCGGCTTCATACTCACAAACACATGATGGCCTACATCCTCCTGGTAGAGCAGAAAGGAGAGCATCCCGCCCTGCGTGAGATCTCCCGCCAGTATCTGCTGCAGGCCACAGTTCATCATCAGCACCTGCACAGCCAACTGCAGCAGCTGTGAGGGGAGAAGACAGAGCTGAGGCTGAGAAGGAATCTGTCCACTCTCTCTCCCTGCCTCTGGGACACTGAGCAGGACATCAGGACCAACTGCACGTTCCCCATTCCTTCCTCTAACCCCTTCCAAGGCTCTAGCCACCAGCCATCTCACCCCACTCTCACGTCATAGCCTCTCCCACCCTCTTATCCTCCAGGATCACCACCCTCCCTTTCTCACCCTCCGGAACAGCAGATATAGCGCTCGCTCCAGGTCACGCTGCCACCGCAGCCGACGGCAATGTTCAAGGGCCTCCTTATAGCGACAGACCTCATCCTCCTCAGCTCCAAAACTCCGGACAGTCTGCAGACCTCCAACTGCCTCTTGCACCACCTGCCCTGCCTTCGCCACTGTGTCCTGGATCTCCTGGAGTATCACCTGGAAGAGAGGGCCAAGGGATACACAGTCCATGAGGCAGAGGACAGCAGGTCCATGTCTTGTTCCAGTTCTGGGGATGTTCTCCAATCTACCTAAAATTATATCCCGATCTTACATTTCTTTCCTGAAGGCATAATGAGAATGAAGGTTAGAGCGAACAAAATATTACTGAGCTCTCGACGTTAGTGAGGGTATGAGATGCATGTTACATATTTCACTTGCATATGAGGTCATTCATACCACCTCCAGGGTCTGATGAGAAATGGGGGAGTAGTTTACTCAAAGACCCAAGGCAGGTTAAAAGATGGTGGCACGGGCATTCAGATTCAGGACCTTCTGACTGCAGTCTACCTTCTTTACACCCATCCAAAGTCCTTCTGCTGATGATAAAAAAAAAAGCACATGTGCTCAGCACATATGTGTTTAATCTTATGTGAGGACTCTAAGAATCCCTTGAGAATCTAAGATAAGTTACCTTCCTCCCAGAAAATTGCGTGCATACACACTCACACATGCACACCATTTTTCATACAGTCCCAGGCAGTCATGGGCCATCTGAAGCCCGTCCATGGCCTCCCATCCCACCCTCCAGCTAAGGACTTCTGCTCTAAGGTCTGAGAAGACCTCAAGGAGAACCTCTCGCTATGAGTGGGGAACCCTCTTCCTCTGTAGTTTTATTCTCCCCTTTCTGGTTCTCTAATGTCCAAATGTACCTGATGGCGTGTGTTGTATATCTTCTCGGCTGCTAATGAGAGGGGTACATTGAGCAGAGAAAGGAGGGTGAGGCGAGGTGACAGGCTGAGCATGAAGCTATACAGTCCCAACACTTTCACCAAACTTCGCAAGAGTATATTGGCATTAAGAGAAAGCCAGTTACTCATCAAGGTGGTGTCCGAGCTCAGCCGTGAGTTCAGCTCCCCTGAGGAAGACAGAGCAGGTGAAGAAATTAAATGTAATACAGCAGCCCCAGAATGCCCCTGACCCTTACCCTAATACAACTCCCTCATCTAAACACTGACTCCGGACTTGCAAAGAGACTGGACAAAGGCTACCTCACTGCCCCCTGCAGACCCTGACATCAAAGACAAAAGGAAGAGAAGAGGTTATATGTAGTACGGTACTGAGGAGCAAGGAGTGGCCCAGGGGCCCACACCCTCGACTCCAGATCCCACCTGTCTTAGTCTCCTGGAAGAAGCCGAGGTCTTGGCGCAACAGGGAGGAGAAGAGAAGTTCTCGGATCCGTAAGTTGATTCTATACATGGCAATGAGGAAGAAGCCACCTCGGCAGCCAGCAGACAGTGAGCTGGGGGCAGGGGAGAAAGCAAGAGGATGAGAGACAATGTCATCGATTCAAAGGCAAGTGGTCTGAATTCACCTGGTGCTCGGAGAAGGATAAGCAATCTCCTTCCGTGAGATTTACTGCCTCTCAAAACCAGCTAGGAGTTGTGGTTCTGACTCAATAGCATACAAGAACAAACAAAGCAGTATACATTAAGGGAATGATTAGCACAATATTACTCAAGGAAGTGAAGGCACAGAGCAGTATGCAAGGATTCATGGAAATCAGATTACAGGGAGAAAGTGGGAAGGACGTGATTATGTGGTGGGTTTTGAAATCAATATTATGGAACAAAATGTATATGATTGGTTGAATGAAAAAATAATCTGTTTTGTAATTCTCACTCAAGTCACAATTTTAAAAAAACTGGAAAAATACACTCTGGTTAAAAAAAATGAATAAAAATAAAATTGTGTCTGGAAAAAAGAACATAAGAGGTGAAGAGAAAAATAGGAATGAGTAAGAAAAGCAAAGGAGAAGACGCAGAATGAAAGAAATGCAAAGTCGGAAAAGTATACTAAGAGACATAAAAGACAGAGCAAGAAGACATGCAGGGCAAGATACAGAAGAAAGGAAGATAGGTGGGAAAACAGAATAAGAATCATAATTGGAAGCACTTGATTCTGTGCATAAGGGGTAAATGTAACAGGAATGAAAACACAGTGAAGACGGGAAACAGCCTCGGCTGTGTTCTTGACCTGTCCTCAGAGTCATCTGCTGCTGTCTCTTTTGTCTTGGTCTCTTTCCTCCTCATGCATCAAAATGCCCTAGCCTCAAATATTTCATCATAGGACTTCTGTCAATGGAACTACCTACCCTTCTACTCTTCAAAGTCTAAGTCATATTGTCCTTGTCTCAGTAACTCCTGAAGTCAGGGAATTCCATGAATTATGAACCAAACCTTTACCAAAAAATTTACCAATTTTACTATAATGATTTTTCAGGGGAAAACACAAAATCAGAGAAGTGTTTTAGGAAATTTTGGTTCCTACTATAAAATCAGCTAACATATTTAGGGAGGTGCTAGTACACTCCAATGATGACTTTAGCAATCACAGTGAGAACACAGGGCAAGGAGCCATCAGAAATAATTTTCTAAAGTAGAAAATAAAAAGACTGGTGCTGGAATACAAAGAAAGTGGTGATAGTGGTTTTGCTTGAGGCCCAGGATACTGAGGATTTTATGGGTGGGAGTCTGATGAGTCTAAAGCTCTGTACGCCTAGGGTATGAGATAAGAACTGGTTATCCAATGAGAACATCAACTGAAATAAGACAAGAGCTCCCCACTGAAAATATGAATCAGGGAATCAATCACCTGGAGAGATGGCCTGAGTCAGCTCAATAGAAAAACTAGTCTTGCATGAGGCAACACCTATATTTAAGACTCCAGAAAAAGGAAAGTTCCCCCAAAGATGCAGAGTGCACTGGGGGGTAGAAAGAGAGCTCATAAGAACTAACTGAAGTAACAGGTCAATAATAACAAGTCATTCTTATACTAAATGCCACAGGGAAGTCTGGCGAATTGAGGACTGATTTTTTTTTTTAAAAAAGGCATTGGCTTGATAAGAAGTTACTAATGTTTGAATAGTTAGTTTCAGTAAAAAGCAACAAGTATGGAATTAAGGTATTGTGAAGAACTGTTTTTTTAAGACCTCCTAGGTGGCCTAGTGGCAACAAGCTGTGCTGCAATCCCAAAGGCATGCAGTTTGAAGCCACCAGCTGCTTCATGGGAAAAGGATGGGCAATCTCTTCCTTTGCAATTAACCGCCTCTGAAAAACTGCTGGAGGGTCATCTATGAGTCGGCTCTGACTCTATGGTACACAACAACAAACAAATAGAGGAAGCTCTGGTGACCTAGTGGTAAGAAGTTGCACTACAAACCCCAAACCAAGTGGATTGAGATCCATCCACCAGCTGCTCAGTGGAAGAAGAATGGGCAATCTCCTATCTTGTGATTGATGGCCTCTGAAACTCGCTGGAGAGTCAACTATGGGTCATTGTGAATTCACCACACAACAACAAGTGAAGTTAGATCATAAACAAAGTATAATATTAAGCACGAGGGTCAGGACTAGGATGAGGAAGTAATATGTCTGCATGACCCTGAGACTGAGGGCCTCTGTAAATGTTGCACCATATGTGCTTCATTTGTCTCACCCTAGTGCTGGTCCTATGAGGCAGGATTGTCTATCAGTTGGTCGGTTGGTCTTAGGACTGCTGAGTAGGTCTGAAAAGGTAGGCAAAGAAATAAAAAGAAAAATAGTAAAGTTTCTGCAAAGGTAACCTTCAGATTAAGATGTTCAGGAAATGGCAAAATGAATTAGGAAAGGAATGTCAGAAGGGGAAAACATACCCAATATGACAAGATATATAGAGGCAAGTTTAAGGGTAAGAAGTAGGAGGCAGAAAACAGAAAGGGAGCCTTGTAAAGAAAAAAATATTAAAAGATACTCTTTTTGACACATAAACTCTTCACACTATATACACTGGTGCCTGTTTCTATTATAATGCAATATAGAATCTGAAGATGTTGGATAAATATGTTAAGAAGGAGATAAATAAATAGATGGAATTGAGAAATGAATAAATAAAGTCAGAAATTTTTGTTTTGCCTGTGAACAGAAGTTAATGAAAATGGAGTTAGGAAATGAAAGTACCTATAAAGATTCGGACTAGCTCATTGATAATTCAGTGATAGGATTCTCATTTTCATATAGGAGACTCAGATTCAATTCTCAGCCAGTGCACCTCACAAACAGAAACCACCTATCTGCCAGTAGTCTTGCATGTTGCTATAATGCTGAGATGACCTAGTAAGGTCACCTTGCTTTCTATCACAAAATATCAGCCAATGGAAACTTCTAGCAAGATGGTGGGGATGGGCAGATGATAGCCCAGACCCTTTACAACTAAGATACCAGAAAACAAAGATAACAGCTACTGAACAGACCTGACAGTTCAGTCATGTTTAATTTCTTCAGATAGCTTGCTGACTGATTCAACTTCTAAACCCAGATCTACAACAATGTCCATACCAGTGGCTGGCTGAACAAGAAAGACAGCAATCTACGGAGCATTCTCTCTCTTTCTCTCTGTCTGTCTGTCTCTTTCTTTCTCTCTCTCTCTGTCTCACACACACACACACACACACACACACACACACACACTACAGCTTCACCCATGGGGCAAAAAGTAAAGACTGATTTCTGGTCCCCTATATAAAAAACTGAAAAACAGACCAGCCCTGTCTTCCCTTACTGCTCTACACAAATGGGGAACAGAGACGTTAAGTACATGCATATTCCTTCATCCTCTATCACACCCACCAGAAGACATAAAAAAACACTGAAAATTGTTCAATTAGCAATTTGCTTAGTGCATTTGCATACCTCAATCAAATATATCAAGACACAATAATACAAAAACAACTTAGAGGCAACAAACAACTTTAAACCACTAAAAAAAAAAAGGACAAGAAGAAACAAAAAGTGTACCAGAATACACAGAACCAGAACATTTTTTCAGAGGAAGAGATGCTATTAAATCTTTCTGACGTTATTTTTATAGGTGATTGAGCTGACTAGAACTCATAGTAGCCCTATGAACAACAATTCTGATCCTAATTGCTACAGTCATTGTTAATCCATCCGATCAAGCATCTTCCTCTCCTGTGCTGGCCCTCAGCCTTTCTGAGCATGATGAAAAGTAGTTACAGAACTTCAAAATGGAGAGTAAATCAAGATTATTTCAAGATAAGCTGAACTGTTTTAGACTTGGGAATAAAATATTGTTGGATAGTTGCCAGGCATGGGAAGTTGAGGAAAAGAGAGTGAAATTTAGTAAACAGATACATATTAAGATGAGAGGAGGGAAAGGCAATATATAGCAAGGGGAAGACCAGCACAATGCCACTAAAAAAGAACATGCAGAGAGGTACACAAGAAGTACAGTCAACAGCAGATGTACAAATTGACCAGAAGACACAAATAGATGAAGAAGATGACACCCAGAACCACACACAGGTTTGGGGATCTGAACCTTGCTCTATTTGTGTCAGCTTCAACCGTCTCCCATATACTTGAGCTCACTGTTACAGTCACTGTGCCAATCGATCTTGTAGAAGGCTTTCCACTCTTACACTGATGCTCCATCTTTCCAAGCCTGAGGTCCTTCTCCAAGGACTGGCTCCTCCTTACAACATGGCAAATGTAAGTGAGAGGGAATTTCACCATCCTTGCTTCCAAGGAGCACCCTGGCTGCACTTTCTCCAAGACAGACTTGTTTATTCTTGTAGCAGTTCATGGAGTAGTCAATACTCTTCTCCAACACCACAACTCAAAGGCATCAATTCTTCTTCTGTCTTCCTTACGCACTGTCCAACTTTCAGCTGCATAACAAGAAACTGAGAAGACCATGGCTTGGATCAGGTGCATCTTAGTCTTTAAACTGATACCATTGCTCTGTAACATTTTTGAAGTCCCTGACAGCAGTAATATATGCTATAAATATGACAATGTAGAGCCAACAATGTTTTGCAAGCTTGCTAGTCATAACCAAACACCTTGAGGGAAGGAATTGCTGGTTTGGGGCATTGGGATCATAGTCTTAGGGAACATCAAAGTCAACTAGCATAATACAGTCCACAAAACAATGTTCTATATCATACTATGGTAAACAGTAAGCTTGGAAATGTGCATCTAAGCTGCAACCATTAGTCTTTCTCTGTCCAGAAGAAAGAAGGAAGTAAAAAAGCAAAGATGTACTGAAACAATTAGTCCAAAGTGCTAATGGATTATGCAAACTTCAACTTTCAAAATCATGAAACCAGAAGAACTAGGTGGTTCCCAGCTACCACTGCTGATCACTCTAAAAGTGACACAATTGAAGATCTTGGGTAGGGTAGGGGGAAATGTGGAGCAGAACTCAAAAACATAAAAAGGCTGGATTTATTGATCTTACAGAGATGAGAGTAACTCCAAAGACTATGGCCCTCAGTCACTCTTTGAATCTGGAACAAAGCTCAACCCTATGACACAATGTTCAGCCAAACAATAGACAGGCCTATCTATAAGGTCAACCATAAGGAGGCACTTATTCCTTAGAATAACTAGCCACATAAGGTAAAAAGAGTAGCATTTGTCTGAGCTCTGAAGGCAAGAAGGGGTAGAATAGAAGGATTAATGTAAACCAGAGTTACAAGGAGGAAATGTGAGCAGTTTGAGTATATTCTGAGCATGTAATTACCATTATAAAACAAAATATGTATGAATGGTTATGTGAAAAACTAATATGCTTTTTTAACTTTCACTTAAATCACAAAAACTTCAATTCAGTTAGAGAAAACCCTAGCTCCTGAGGATGACTGGCTGTCACTTCTTTCCACTGTGCCTTGGTCATCATGGATGAGCCAGGGCCCAACAAGACAACAGCCAACAACAGCACAATGGTCTGGAACTAGCAAATGAATCAAATTGACTATCACCTACCTCCACAAGGAGAACAGGCACATAAAAAAGATGGCACTGGAAAAGGCTTCAGGATCAAAATTACCTCCCAGGATGTCAATCACGCGACCAGAATAGTAAGGAATTAATGTTTCACCTGAAAAAAGGCATGGAAGATAATAATAGGTGAATATGTGCTGGTGCCGAGGACCTTTCCCCACCTCCAATTCACCAAGCCTTCTCTCTACTCACCCCAAACGGCCATAATAAGGAAGAAGAAGGCAGCAGCCAGGTAAGGCACGTCTGGCCTGGAGAGCTTCATCAGTCTCCACATCAGAGCTTTGTTCTCCTGATTCTCATTCTCCTCCTGGGCTGAAGCTGGGGCTTCTTGAGGGCTCAGGACTGCCCACACTACCCAGCTCAGCGCTGTAGCCCCATAGCTGGTCAGCAGCCAGCTCCAAGAGCCTGAAGCTACTCTGTCTAGGGGTGCACTCAAGACCCCTGGGACCAGAGCCCTCAGCGTAAGAAACAGAGGTGTCACTAGGCAGAGTAAGGGTAACAATGTTCTCCCAAATCCTAGTAGACCTCCCAGCTTTAGCAACCCCCACAGTCCTCCAAATCGCAGGACTCCCTCTAGCCACAGACTAAGAAGCCCTCCAGGAAGTAGGGCCCCCAAAGTCCCCTGAAGCACTCTGAGTACGGCCAAATCCAGCAGCAAGAAGCAGATCCAAGGTCTCAAATCTGGGAGTGGCATAGCGCTACCTGCGGGCAAAAATACGCACATACAAAATTATGTCGGACCCGCAGAAACCTCATATGTTAACCGAATGGAACTGAACACTATAGCCTTTATATATGTATCTATTTAATGAAAGTTTGTAAGGAACTTGGGTTTCCAATCGTTCATAATAGCTTTTTCTTAGCTTGTAATGTGTAAGGAAACAGGGTTTGAAGATTTTCGCACCTCCCAGCAAGAAGGGGCAAAATTGTAGAAATCTCAATCTTGGTCCCTTTTCCTACACCCCCTTCCGCACCCACACTGTTGGCTGGAAGATCCTAAGTGCTCAGCCCTAAACACTACATCCCTGTACTACGAAGTGTCATTCTATGTCGAGAAGCATTTAGGAACCTCGTCCAAACACACACTCCAAAACTGTCCCTGACACCTCTCCCCATATTCCAACCTCTGCCTGCTATGATCGATCCCAAACAGCCAAGTGTCCCTGGCTCCTCTGAGCCCCTCTCCCCACGCGTGCGAAGTGCTGGAGTGGGATGTGTCCTAGGTGCGCCCCAGTTTTCTATGCTCACGAACTCACCGTTGGCGGCTTAGGGACTGCGGCTCCGGGGATTTTTGGTCAGGCTCTGAGCATGGAGATCAGCCTCTTGCTTTTCAGCAGCCGCTCCTTGATGTTGCCCTGACGCGCCCCGGCAGAAGGTAGCCAGGCTTGCGCCGCTTTCACTTTCGCTTTTTCCGCCATTCATTCCCGCGTTCAGGGCCGGGCTGCCGAGAGGGGGCGCGCGAGGCCTGCAGAGCGCGCCTCGCCCACTCCCGGTTGTCACTCACCGAAGCTGTAGTCTCGCTGTGAATACTCTGTAACATGAAACTACTCTGTCTTTTGAAAGTGATCATTAATGAAAACTGAGGTACAGAGACTTGTACACCAGTGTTCATAGCAGCATTATTTGCCATCGCAAGAACATGGAAACAGCCCAGCTGTCCAACTACAACTGAATGGATCGAGAAATGATGGAATACACGATGGAATACAGCATGCAGGAGCAATGATTTTATAAATTACTACATAGCTTGGAAGGGCCTGGAGAGCATTATGCTGTGAACTAACTCAGTCCCATAAGGACAAATACTGTATACGACCATTATTGTAGAACGTGTATGAGGAGGAGGGTGGGAGCTGAGTGGTGGGGTTGGGGTGATGGTTAATCATTGGATGAGGGTCACACAATTTGATGGGCGGAGGGAGGGGTAGGTAAAGGAAATGAGAAATATCCTTTGTGAAAAGCAGTGTATATGAACTTCGTAAGTAAATCAGTATAAAATAAAAATTTTATTTAATTTTTTTAAAGTTATTAAGCTTGTTGATCTATTTCAAAAATTGGGGTTCTTTCTTACTGTGAACCACTAGATTGTCAGTTATCACTCAAGGTTTGAACACATTTTAAAACTGCCTTGTTCCCCTATTGAGGCTTGCGTTTTAGAGTGAGGTGAAAACAGAGCTCAGAAACGCCAAGGGCTTCTGCAAAATAGAAAGGGCTCGTCATTCTTGCCGGTCTAAGGGTATTTCCACATGCAGATTTCGAATTAAGGTGACTATGACCTTTTGTCTTCATTCTCCATCTCAACAGGGCACAAGCTCAAAAACCTCTAAATTTGCGCTCCGAATTATGTTGGGAACACCTTCTGTGAGTGAGGGATTATTTCATGTAGTGGACTTCAGAATAGGCTTGCCTGAAACAGAGCTTATCAATGGGAACAAGCAGATTTGTTTTGCCTAGAAATAACTTTTCAGGTTGAAACTAACTTCTGAGTTTAAAAAAATGCCCTACAAGAAGGTAATTTATGTTCCAAACCACACTTTTGAAATATGTCCTGCTCTGATTAAAAGTTTGAAATAAGAGGGGAAATGCTTTAAATAGATTACTAAAATCGGTCCATTTCTAGAATTGTAAAGATTTCTAATTGGGGGAGGGGGCAAGAAACAACAACAAAAAGCCAAACCTCCACACTCGGTTCTTTCCTATTTTCATGTTGTTCCTTGGGCTGACTTTCCTCTGAAATATGCCATCTTCCTGTAGCTCCGTCATAATTTAGAAAGTTTTATATGTGGAGTTTGGGTTTGGGGGATGTTTTACCCCTGGGCAATCTCCTTCCATGTGATTAACTGACTCTGAAAATCCACTGGTGGATCAGCTATGGCTCTGACTCAACCACACCATAACAACAGTAACAACCTTGGTTCTTTTACCTCATATATTCTTCTTCACTTCAGGATCTTAATTGTCTTTTTCCTCTTCCATCTAGTCATTTTGCAATGAAGTGGGCCAATCTGATCATGAAACTAAATCCCTAATGTCCTCTTTATATTCAAAATCGAGGATCTCTAAGTGATATTGAACCACAGACTGCCAAGACAGCTAATAGTTCTGTCCTGGAGAAGGTGAAGCCAAGCCGTTCCTTGGAGGCAAGGATTGTTAAACTCTGTCTCACATACTTTGGACATGTTGCCAGGAGAGATCCTTGGAGAGGGACATCATGCTCTGAAGGGTGGAAGGACAGCCCAGGAGAGAAAGACCCCAGATGAGATGGATTAACACAATAACCAGAGTAATGGAAGTGGATATGTCGGAGACAGTGAGATTGGCCCAGGATAGAGCAGGATAAAGAGCTATTGTGCATTTGGTTGCTATGAGTTGTGGTCTACTCAATGGCACATAGCAAGTGCTGTTTAAATGGTAAGGGTTTACAATTACCATGCATTTTTTGAGGTAGGTCCACTTTACAAAATCAAAAGCAATTGTAGGTGCCCTACTTCCAAACATCCAAACCACAAAGGCGTCTCTTAATTTCATATTCTCCCACCTGCACCCTACCCCCCAAACCCATTCAGCCACATCAGAGAGTCATTTTAACTGTTTTTCTTTATTGTGCTTAACAGGTGACCCAGAAGGTTCAGGGTAGGAGCAGGGTGCTCACTGAAATAAAGAATACACGAAAAGATGGACTCTGCCAGCTCTCACTGGCCAATGAGCCAGTTCTTTAGGTCCCTCCTTCTGCTGGCCCAGTTCCCTGAGTCGATCACGTTCTCTGAAAAGAGACCTGTCCAGCCACAGCCACTACTGACTGGCATCCCGGTACTGGTGCATCAAGTCACTGACGTCTGTACTTTCCACTTTCACCCAACCATCTTCTTTCATGTGATACACTATGGACAAATGGGAAAAGGACACAGAATCACGTTTCACTTCTGCATGTTAATGATTTTATGTTAATGACGACAATCTCTCTCCCTCTCTCAGACACACACACACGCGCGCGCGCGCAAAGGCCTTATTACTAGAACTTCAATACCTCTCTTCAGGCTCTGAAAACATCTTCTCACTCTGTACCCCTACCCCACCCTTAGTCTCCTAGTCTTAATCCTCTTCCCCACACACACCCCCTCTGTGGCATGGTGGTAGTAGCATTGATCTCTTACTATTGACGACTCCTCCAGAATAGCTGTCTCGGTGGGTAGCATGAACGATTGCCCTTCGACCAAGATCGTAGGCCTCTTCAGGGCTAAGATTATAGCGATAGCCACTGTCCATGACCCCATAGGCATAAGTGTTCCCACTACCGCTGGAGAACATATTTCCTGAGAGCCGAGTCCCATTATCATTTACATAGTAGAGTCCAGGACCCTAAAGGGGGAAACACAGTTCTAGGATGAAATTGACGAAAGAGATGTTGGTGAAGTAGCGGTTCAAGTGTTAATCATAAAATGTATGAAAAGGTATGACTAACTCAGTTTCATAAGGACAAATGCTGCATAAAACTCTTATTACAAAAATAAAAGGATTACTAGTAAGATGTGTACCAAAGTCCAAAGGGGGAAGGGAAGGAAGGAGGGAGCCTGAAGGTGGGGAAGGGAGAGTGAGGGGTAAATCTTGAGGTCCCAGAGTTTGGTGGGTAGAGCCAGGCGGTGAAGGAACTAGGAAAGATCCTAGTCCTTGAGGACTTGAAAAGGTGGATAATAGTATGAATCAATAAAGATTAATTTTATAAAATAATTT